ATGTCAAAACTCAGTGAGACAAATTCTTATAGGAGTTATTGCCCATAAATGACAAATTTTACCTTTTTTTTTTCATTTTTCCTATTATCATGAAAACTATGATATTTAGAGAGAAACAATTTTTTTCCGTTATGCCTTATATGATTTAAATTATAATAGATAGATAGACACTTTAAATCACAAAAATGATCAGCAAGGCAAGATCTATTAAAAAGTCAAATTTTGTCGATATAGTTAGTAGACTGTCACTCTTCATAGGAGTGATTGCCCTTGAATGAGAATTTTTTTACCCTCTTTTGTGTTTTGAGGAAAAACTAAAGAAGATAGAGAGAAACTAAACAGACTAAAATATCAGTAATACAAGATCAACAAAATAGAGATTTTTGTTATGAATTCTATTCTCGTCTACAATGTTGGAGAGTGTCCTTTGTTTGATATGCACATAGACCAAGGTGAGCGACACAGGCTCTTTAGAGCCTCTAGTTACCTATTATGTCTGTTTGTTTTGTTCACACATTGTTGTCAATATAATGGAATTTTATGCGACTGTCATACAAGTGAGAGGTTTAGCTTGCTATAAAATCAGGTTTAATCCATCATTTTTGTCTCGCTTGACAGAGTCAAAAAGCGAGACATAGGTATACTGTTTCCGGCGGCGGCGTCAACAATGTATTAGTTTGTGATTAGGTCTAGTTTATGGTGAACCACTAGTGGTAAGTTAAAGATATTTGGTATGCAGTTGTATTTGTATTTGCACATCTCATTACCATGGAAATTATTTGGCCCCGCCCCCTCAGTTATGGTCTATTGACTTTGAAATTTTTGCTTAGTTTTCATGTATTAGTTTGTGATTAGGTCAGTTAATGGGGAACCACTAGTGGTAAGTTAATGATAATTAGTATGCAGTTGTATAAGCATTGGCATATCTCATTTCCATGGAGATTATTTGGCCCCGCCCCCTCAGTCATGGTCTATTGACTTTGAAATTTTTGCTTAGTTTTCATGTATTAGTTTGTGATTAGGTCGGTTTATGGGGAACCACTAGTGGTGGGTCAATGATATTTGGTATGCAGTTGTATTAGCATTGGTACATCTCATTATAATGGAGATTATTTGACCCCGCCCCCTCAGTTATGGTTTATTGAATTTGAAATTTTGCTTAGTTTACATGTATTAGTTTGTGTTTAGGTTTGTTTAAAGGGAACTACTTATGATAAGTCAATGGTATTTGGTATGCAGTTGTATTAGCATTGGCACATCTCATTTCCATGGAGATTGTTTGGCCATGTACCTTCAGTCATGATTCATTGACTTTGAATATTTGCAAAACTTACATGTAAAAGTGTTGCTATTTTAATTTTAACATTTGCATTATCGAAATAACCAAAAAGCGAGACATATCTCTGTGATAACAGTTTATCTACATAAGGAAATGCCTGTACCAAGTCAGGAATATTTGTTTTCCATTCGTTTGATGTGTTTGAGCTTTTAATTTTGCCATGTTTGATAAGGGACTTTCTGTTTTGAATTTTCCTTGGAGTTCGGTATTTTTGTTATTTTACTTTTTAGCAATGTAAGGTATTTTTATATTTGAATAAAGGAAGTGTATTTTTGTCAGTGATGAATGAATTCCTATTTTAATAAAATTACTGAATTCATATTTTGTTATTGTAAAAAAATTTCAATGCCTCTTTCTGGGGAAATACACATAGCTATCATTTGGGAATCCTATTTACATGTATATCAAATATTATGAAAAAAGAAGATTAATTGAGAACTTCAAGGCAAGTAATTATCATCCAAGTAAGTAAAATCACGGTTTCAGACACTTGCATTCTTACTTTTCTTTTCCATTGGACAGTTAGTGATTGATCTCCCTGTAACCACAGATGTGATTGGTGTGTTCCCATTTCGCCTTAGCTGGGAATTCCAGGTAAAAAAAAATACTAAGGCGATATGGGAATTGTACTAAGGCGAAATGTGAATTTAGATGAAAAAATTAAATAAACAAATTAAACCTCTGTGTTTTTATAACAATATAAACAACATGTAATCAGAAGAAAAAAATCTACAATAAAACATTAGTCAGCAGGAAAGTTGCTTCTTTTATGCTTTATTTAATAAAAGTTTCAATTGTATGAATTTTATGCAATTAGAAAATTCTTAATAATTCAATTATCCTTTACATTGTGCAACACAAAAAGTTAAAAAGAAAGAGAAAAAAAATACATTCCAAAAGATTTATTTACATATATGACAGAAATTTTAATAAAATAAATAAAATAATAAATATTTTATGATGTACCTTCAAAGATTGGCCAACCACACAATCACCTACCAGACCATGCATCAGTCAATAGTAGAAAGATATTAGAATCTGTTAGATCTAGATATAGATCAGAAACTACACCTATACCATCAATTTACGATTAAGAAATAACAAAACTCAGAGATGCACCATGGGATGCCCAGACCCTGGAGACTGCACAAAAACTGTCTACCTTCGAAAGTAAGAGATCAGCACTCTATCGTACCAGACAAAAACTGCAGTATCTCATGTCTTTCCAAACGCACAACTCAAAGGTTGTTTGTTCCACTACGCAAAAGCAATATGGAAAAAGACACAGGAATATGGGCTGCAAACTCAATATAAAGATGTCCCAGATGTCAACAAACTCGTCCGTCGTGCAGCAGCTTTGCCATTACTGCCCTTAGATCGTTTGGAAGACTACTGGTTACACGCCTTGGAAAACGCACCACAGTCAGATGCTTGCACCAAATTAACAGACTATGTAATTCTGACATGGATAGAGGACAGATACCCACAACCAACCTGGAACCACCACCAAACAGAAGGACCCAGGACAAATAATCATTTAGAGGGCTGGCATAACAAGCTAAAAAAGAGAGTCAAAACCGCACATCCAAACATATTTGAAATTATCAATGTGTTCAAGAAAGAGCAAGCATCTAACGAGGTAAAGAAAGTACAGTATGCAGCAGGTGGCAAGATGAGGGGGAAAGCAAAGAAGTATAGAGAAATAGAAGAAAGATTCGCCACTTTGAAGGAAACCCTACACAATGGTACAACTGACTACATTCAGTATGGTGATGCAGCATCTTACATCCTCAAACTTGGAAACTAAATGAACTTTGAACATTCAAATGTGTACATCAGTGCCTTGTTTTTCACAATATGAACTATATGGAAATAATTCTTATGTTTTATGTATTAGTGCTTATTCTCATGCTATTATTTATAACATTGTGCTTTGAATTCAGTGCTGATTCAGAAATAAAATGTTTGTTATGATAGTTTGATATTTGTCTTTATTTATTCATTAAAATATGAAACATCCATATCCAATTTGTCATCTTTAATAAGACTTTATTTACAAAATATAACACATGAGTATAATAAAAAAAACAAATACAATTTCAGAAAAAGAAGAGCAACTATAAAAAAAAATATTTAAAAAGTGGGATACAAAAAATAAAAAAAAATATCTTCTTTTAAATAGTATTTCATGGTAGAATTTGACATCAAAATAACAAATGAAATATCAACTAATTGCAATACAAACAAAACATAACCGACACAATTACATTGTTTACAGAAGCTCCCATTTTGCCTTAGTTAATTCTGTGTACCTGAAAATTTGTACTAAGGCAAACTGGGATTAATTTTATATAATTATTTTGACAGCTAAGGCGAAATGAGAATAAGCCATGTGATTTGATAGTAAATTATAACCTTTGGCACTTCAAGGGTTGTTTTTACAACTATATTTGGAGGACTGTCTAATTATTGAAGCCAGGTCACATTTCTAACATTTTGATGGGTATTGATTGTGTCTCACATGTTTGGGTGTTATCAAAAGATGTCTGGAAGTCAAATGAAAAGAGAAATAGGTTATTGTTGTATGCTGTTTGATTCTTGTATCTACAGGTATATTATGATATATAAACCTGTACTTTTGCTGAATGCTCTAAACAAAATATTTCTGATTTGGATCATTGTAAGACTTTAAAATTGAATTTAAACATTTAATACTTTGTTTTACCACTAATACTTTTAAATTTGTCTTTTAATGATTAAAGCAGGTCCTCCCATTTTGAATTGCTGGTATCTTGAAAGTTTCGTCTTCAATACAATTTAATTGAAAAAGAAAACAACTTTTACCTTAAAAACGCTGTTTATCACCCAATTATGAATCCAACAAGTAAGGGTACCTTCAGTTTCAAAGTTTTCATTTCATGACTCTGGTGTGCCAAAATCACTAATGAAGTTTCAGGAACTTAATTTTATCTTGAATTTATACATTTCTTCTTGTAATCCATTAGAAAAGGAATAACTGTACTATACTTGAAGAGTTGCCCCCATCAATTTTGTATTTGATGGTCACCAATGTCTGTTTTACTGGCTAAGCTTTGCAACACCAGTAAAACTACATTTGCGATTGTTCAATCCCAAATTGATGGTGACAAATTGTCAGCTACAGTTTTGTTATTCCTTAATGGTACCATTAAAATTCTGTTCATTGGTTCTTAAGTTCCCATAACATGTGATTATGTTTGAGAAATGTGAATTCACTTTTATTCAATTACAGAAATAACATTGTTATTCCTTTAATGAAAAGGTAAACAGATTTGACCTATAACCTTAAAAAAAATTGGGTTCTTTGAAGATCAATTATTGCCACAGGGGTCCTTTATTTGTAAAGCATGCAATAATTTCTGAATTTACAGTGAATTTTTTTTAATGATTTTTCTCACCAAAGGGTATACTTTTTATATTCCACATACCTGATGAAAGCTTGAATGCAATGTTTTCACTAACCTTCCAATCTTTACCATTTAATGTTTCTTGTTGATTTTTTTTATATTCAAAACATTTTGATTAAGTTCAATTTGTTTTATTGGCTTAGACAGGAATGATTATTATGTTTTTTGTCATACAATAACTGAACTAACTACCATATTTTTTAATCAATTTTTAGTGAAAGTTTACAGAGAATTATAACATTAGAAGAGGAGATATTCAGACTAGATAGATACAGTAGCTTTAGTACAGCCAGTATTCTGTATTCAAACTTATCCAAACTAATGATGGATGAACCTCTAAGGTTAGAAATTCTTTAACGTAATTATTGAAGAGTGTATATTTGTTCAAGTACTACGTTAAGATGCATCAGGATAAATTAGGATTTTTATTGTCTGAGACTATTCTGATAAAACATTTGTAGCAAAAATCAGCCCTTTCTAGTTATATATTTACAAAGTTTTAGGGCCTCACCATTTAAATGACTGAGGCCCATAGTAATCTATAACAAATAGTTTCCTCTTACTAACTCAAAAACCCATTGAATATAAAATAGGAGATTTAGTATGATTGCCAATGAAACATCTATCCACCAGAGACTAAATAAATTAGATGTAAAAACTATAAGTTGATGTACAGCCTTCAACAATGAGCAGTCAGCTTTTGTTTCTTCTCATTTTTGTGATTTTTAGAGAATGCAAGTCTTATCACTGTTTTTCCGAAGTATTTATTATTTTTTTTATACCCCCTTTGCGGCAGAGGGGGCATTAAGTTTTACCCTTGTACATTTGTCTGTCCGTCCGTATGTCCCAAAATTAGTTTCAGTTCTATAATATTAGTTTGCCTAATTGCTCAACCAAATGTTTCGAAACTTTTACAGGATGCTTATTACTACCAAAAACAGATCAAGTTGAAATTTTGATGGTGTCACTTTCACCATTCTAAAGTTATATCCCTTTATAAATTGAAAAATTGTTGAATTTGCCATAAATTTAAATTTCCCATTGACACATTCTTCTTTTATTTTATTTTGGGATACCTATTTTTACCAATAGTTTGCAAATTGCCTATTATCTTGAAAACTATAAAAGAAAGATACAGCGACATACTTTAGTTTCGTCTTCTTGGAATGAGTGTTGACGTTCCAAATCTCTCCATTTTGTTGCAGTTGAAAATATTATGTCACATGTTTGAAACAGGAGATAACTTCGGGCACATGACTTATTTTTTGTGCTGATCAACAAGAGAACATCTCCAAAATAACATTTGATTTGTGAAATATAAATTGATAGGGTTTAATAGTTATTACAATACTGGTCTGAAAATTCCAAGCAGTATATCTAAACTCAAATTGATGCAATGCCAGATGACCCTTTGAAATCTACTGCCCCCCTTTTGGATCAATAGTTGGTCACCACGAGAATGGATTAATTAAACCAGAAGTACGATAAATATTCTTGTTGCCTAAGCAAGACCAGGGTTTCCCCTGGGTCAATTTTTTTTATGCCAAAATATTTTTTTCGCCACTCTCAATTTATTTCGCCAACTCGCATAAACATGGATTTGTTTAGAACTTGTTTTCCTTCTTGCTTACAAACAAAAATCAGTTTGCAGTATTATTGTCTCATTTATTATAATTCTACATATCTATTTCATATCCTACATTGTAATAAATGAAAACTCAATTATAACAAAAATTTCTTTCACTTTTTTATAAATACTGTAAAATGTGACTTCTGGGAACACATGGTTCATTTTCAATCATTTTATTGGATACTTCCTGTCTACTTAAAGGACAAAGAATACTTTTGAAACCTTTCTTCAAAACAATACATGTAGTTTTCTTTTCTGAACCATCGTTATAGGCTGAGGTTTAAGGTAAAAGTTGAGATGTTAAATATGCTTAAAACAGGTGCGCTGCTAAAACGATTGTGCAGCACCCACTTCAAAACAATTATTTTTAACAAAAGTGTAAAACAATCCTTTAGTTGACATGTGACACAATTTTACCACACATTTTCATTACACAATACAATAAACACCTTTTTTGATTAGTCCATTGTTGCCAATTGCTATTAAATGCCATCAGCTGATTATTGATTTTCTGACAAAATTGATACGCGTGACGAGTTCAAGGTGAAATTCAAGTATTGTCTGATCAGGGAAAAAGTCGAAGAAATCTGAAACAAAATTAACAAGATGGACGAAGTTGAACCATTATATTTCTTTAGCGAAAACCCTAAGCAAGACCCTTTGAATGAAATAATGGTTTGCCCAAGCAAAAAGTCATGAGGACCTTGACCTTTTACCTCAAGGTCAGAAAAACAAATTGTTCTAATTTTTTCTTGACCATAACAAAACTCTTATATCCTTTGACCCTAATGGGATAGTGGAGCCGCCCATTTATATCATAAATTGTTAAATATATATTGCAAACCATTAACATTCCCCTTCCCCCCCCAATTAACTATATATGTACTTTTATTTGCTTTACCATGACAATTTCCTTACAGTAAAAGAATGTTTGTTGGGCCTTTTCTTTACTGGAATAACTTCTATAGATAAAAGGAAGACATTAGTTTTAGTCCAGTTAAACATTTCTACCTAGTTCTTTACCTGCGTTGCCAAAGGCGAAAGCAGGTCTAGTAACTGCTCGACTCAGTCCGTCCATCTGTCTGTTTTCTTGGCTTTTATGAAAGGGAATCATTTAATATTTGGTCTGCAGCTTGATAATGTTGAGTTGTAGTGTCAGCATTAGCAATTTTGGGGATACGATTGCTGTTAATCGTATCCCCAAAATTGCAGACTTTTACCATTGACTCCTTTCCTTTCCAAGGCTCTCACGTCAACCATTTTGTTCTTTGTATTAAGGATCAACTCAGATTCTAAAGATTGTTTTATTTCAAAGAGTAAAATAAACAAACAGATTGAATTTAAACAATTTTTAACATTGCGATATAAGCGGGAGGTTTGGCTAGCCATAAAACCAGGCTCAACCCACCATTTTTTGTCGAGCCTGCGACTTCTGTGGCAGAAAGCTCGACATAGGGATAGTGGTCCAGCGGCGTTAACTAACTACTTAAAAGCTTTATATTTTAGAAGCTGGAAGACCTGGATGCTTCATACTTTGTATATAGATGCCTTATGTTATGAAGTTTCCGTCTGTCCATTGTCCTTGACCTCATTTTCATGGTTCAGTGACTACTTGAAAAAAACGATAACATTTTTTGTAATGTTAATTTCTCTATTATTATGAGTAATAAGATAACTATATTTAGTATGTGCATACCTTGCAAGGTCCTCATGCCTGTCAGACAGTTTTCATCTGACCACGACCTCAATTCATGGATCAGTGAACAAGGTTAAGTTTTCATGGTCAAGTCCATATATCAGATACTATAAGCAATAGGTCTACTATATTTAGTGTATGGAATGATTGTAAGGTGTACATGTCCATCTGGCAGGTGTCATCTGGCCTTGACCACATTTTCATGGTTCAGTGGTTAAAGTTTAGTTTTTGTGTTTTGGTCTTTTTTTCTAATACTATATGCTGCAGGTCAACTATATTTGGTGTATGGAAATATTTTACAATGTACATGTCAGTCTGGCAGGTTTTATTTGACCTTGACCTCATTTTTACGTTCATTGCTCAGTGCTAAGTTTTTGTATTTTGACGTTAACAAGCTACTTAAAAGCTTTATATTTTAGAAGCTGGAAGACCTGGATGCTTCATACTTTGTATATAGATGCCTTATGTTATGAAGTTTCGGTCTGTCATATGTCCATTGTCCATGACCTCATTTTCATGGTTCAGTGACATTTGAAAAAAAAGTTAACATGTTAATTTCTCTCATATTATGAGTAAAATGATAACTATATTTAGTATGTGCGTACCTTGCAATGTCCTCATGCCTGTCAGACAGTTTTCACTTGACCTCGACCTCATTTCATGGATCAGTGAACAAGGTTAAGTTTTTGTGGTCAAGTCCATATATCAGATACTATAAACACTAGGTCTACTATATTTGGTGTATTGAATGATTGTAAGGTGTACATGTCCAACTGGCAGGTGTCATCTAACCTTGACCTCATTTTCATGGTTCAGTGGTTAAAGTTAAGTTTTTGTGTTTTGGTCTTTTTTTCTGATACTATATGCAATAAGTCAACTGTATTTGGTGTATGGAAATATTTTTAACGATGTACATGTTAGTCTGACAGGTTTTATTTGACCTTGACCTTATTTTCACTGTTAATTGCTCAGTGTTAAGTTTTTGTCGAGCAGAAAGCTCGACATAGGGATAGTGATCCGGCGGCGGCGGCGTTAGCTAACTTCTTAAAAGCTTTATATTTTAGAAGCTGGAAGACTTGGATGCTTCATACTTTGTATATAGATGCCTTATGTTACGAAGTTTCCGTCTGCCGCATGTCCATTGTCCTTGACCTCATTTTCATGGTTCAGTGACTACTTGAAAAAAAAGTTGTGATTTTTTGTAATGTTAATTTCTCTCTTATTATGAGTAATAGGATAACTATATTTGGTATGTGCGTACCTATCAAAGTCCTCATGCCCGTCAGACAGTTTTCACTTGACCTCGACCTCATTTCATGGATCAGTGAACAAGGTAAAGTTTTCGTGGTCAAGTCCATATCTCAGATACTATAAGCAATAGGTCTAATATATTTGGTGTATGGAAGGATTGTAAGGTGTACATGTCCATCTGGCAGGTGTCATCTGACCTTGACATCATTTTCATGGTTCAGTTGTCAAAGTTAAGTTTTTGTGTTTTGGTCTGTTTTTATGCCTCACCTATGATAGTAGAGGGGCAATATGTTTTTCAGTCTGTGCATCCTTTCGTCCGTCTGTCCCGCTTCAGGTTAAAGTTTTTGGTCAAGGTAGTTTTTGATGAAGTTGAAGTCCAATCAACTTGAAACTTGGTACACATGTTCCCTATGATATGATCTTTCTTATTTTAATTCCAAATTAGAGTTTTGACCCCAGTTTCACGGTCCACTGAACATAGAAAATGATAGTGCTAGTGGGGCATCCGTGTACTATGGACACATTCTTGTTCTAATACTGAATGCAATAGGTCAACTATATTTGGTGTATGGAAATATTTTATGATGTACATGTCAGTGTGGCAAGTTTTATTTGACCTTGACCTCATTTTCATGGTTTATTGCTCAATGTTAAATTTTTGTGTTTTTGTGTTTTGCTAATACTATATGCAATAGGTCAACTATATTTGGTGTATGGAAATATTTTACAATGTACATGTCAGTCTGGCATGTATCATCTGACCT